TCTAACCTCTAATATGTGCTATTTCCTAACAAAAAGATTTAGAAAAATGTATTTCTTGTCCCGACGTTATGGGATCATGAATTTCTTCAACATGATTCTATTACGATCCCTCGTATGTTTTACCTGTTCACCTGTGTTGGTTTAACCTTGTTAACTATGTCAATAATCAGGAGTTCCAAGTCATAAATACTAAACGACACCGATCGCCAATTGAATCCACACAGAAGCTAACTTCTTCCCTCGTGTATGGAACCAAGTGAGCGAGTTTCCAATATTCACTTTGCTACATGACTATCTAAGTTATCAAGAGTTTTCCCGTATCCACAACCAATTTAGAAACTCAACAAGACATAAGAATTTCAGGCTCTTCAAATTAATTGCCACGGAAAATTAATAAGATCGCAGTTTCATGCTGAAAATATTAGGCTATTCTGGTTTCTGACATGCTTTAATTTGAAGAACATACCAGTGCAGCCACAACGCCATTGGCTATCTGCAACCTCGTCCTCCAATCTAAGGGAGTCTTCAAAGGGTCTGCCAACACCCAATCATTGAAACGAAATAAAAAACATGTAATTGAGAAGCTCCTCTAAGTCATTTTTTTCAGCTTTCTAAATTTACCGTTTAGATGATCCTTCAAGCTTCCATTTTCTATATTGTCAAATATGAGCAACCTGAAGATATACAAGAAAAAAAGTAATCACAAAATTGCTTTACCTACCCACACTACCGTGAAGACTAACTGTAACAAACAGTGATCCACGTCCACTTCTCACACAATAGAATTCAACAATTACATATTGAAAAATTAAATCAAGAAGATAAATATATAACGTTTTTCAAGATTTATTAAAAAGCAGTCCATGTCTATAATTTCAGCTGCAACGTTAATTGTAAGTGATTCTAATTTTCCAAATATCAAGAAACATGACATGATCGCAATAAAAGACCTTCTAAATTTGTTTTCATAAATCCCTGTGAAATGCGAAACAGAGCATACTGGACGAACCTCTTGCGATTGCGCCCGACGGAAAAACCTCTGAGCGAGAGAAGGTGGCGATGTCGCAAGCGTCCCAAGAACTGCACGTGTCTGTAAAAATGATCGCTTCCTTCATCGAAGCCTTTCACTTCTCTCACCAAACAAACGCCGCCACTGTCTTCAAACCTGGCAGCATACGCAGAAACATCGGAATTGCTATATAGAACTCTGTGGAAGCCATCCGTTGCTCTTCGAACATCTTTATACGAAATTCTCCGCACGAAAAACACCGCACCTGAACAATTCGACACAGCGATGGAGAACTTCGAGCGTGGAGTTCAATTTGATAATTGGATTCAAATTCGATGAAATTGAGAGAGAAGTGATTGAGAGGAAGGAGTGTGGAGTGAGAATTGTGATTACCGGAGCGAGATCGGTGAAGCCATGCGCGAAGGTGGCGACGGAGCTTGTGGACGAAGGGATCCATGGAGATGTTGGTTTAGGATAACGGAGTTTAGAGGAGATGTAACACCGTCAAATTCCATTCGCTTTGTAGCTGTTTGCCAAACTGGAACAACGGACTCTTTATGAAAACGAATCTGCCGATTCCTGTTATCTTTGGTCTTGAGGAGAGAGAGAAAACGTCGAGACACATAGAACAGATAACAGAACTGTGGAACAGTTTCAACGTGCGTCAACGTCACCCTTCAAAGGTTAATTAAAAATAAGTAATAACATAACGGGACGCTATCCAAACGGTTTCTTATTTAATTCAGTTTTTAGTCAGAGGAGTAAGTGTAAGAGTAAAGCAAAAAAAACGAGTTTTTTTTTACCTGTGCACTCTCTTTAGAAACTAATTTACTTTAAAAACGTATTATCAACATGTTTATTGTTTAATAAAAAACAGTTCATTAATATTTATGATGATTTTATTTTTCACTAATAGTTCTAGCAAAATATATTTAAACTAAAAATATTTCATATGTTTTATTCTTAATATTTGAGAAGGTTGCTGAGAACTATTTCAAAGTCTAAATAGAGTTGACAGCTTCGTACTTTCTAGTGGGACTAACCACGTCAAATATTTATTAATATTAAGTGAGATAATTATATTTTGACAATATTTTTTTGATAATATTATAATTGATTTAAAATTATTTTACAATTAATAATAATTATAAATATTAACATGGACTAATCATATAATGATACGATAATATTAAAATATTGTAAAAAAATATCGTGAATTATTATGATATTTTTCTCTCCTTTATTAGCCAATTTTATATAAGATCCATTTGCGAGCTTAAATTCAATTTAAAAAACTCCTTCAATTTCACACTTGCATGCAGGCCAGGCTGGCGACACAATTGGCCAACCCTAAGTACATACCCGTGAAGGGGATGTACTACTAAACTATTCAATTTTTTGTTAAATGTTTGAGTTTTTTAATTAAATAAATAGTTCTAAAGTTAAGTTTAGACTTACTGTGAATAAATAATTTTAAGCACACGTGGTCAACTTTTCTCTCTAATTAAATTAAGTCTCCTAATCAATTTCAGGTTAATTTATTAATAAGAGATAAATATATTACTATAAAGCGTTACTGAGATAAGTATCTTCTTTAACTACTTCAGATAACCACGAATTGATAATTTTTTATGTAAATTTGACCTCACTCCTATATTAGTGAGCTTTAATAAAATAAGTTTGTCTAACCCGTTAATTTACAGACTTTGAAAACATTACACCCTTTTAGCATTTCTTTTAATCTACTTTTCTATAATATAAAAACTACAGTCAAATTTTAAACCATTAAAATAATGATGACAAAAAATATCATAATCATGATATATGTTAATATATATATATATATATATATATATATATATATATATATATATATATATATATATATATATATATATATATATATATTTAAAGTATACATTGATTCACAACCATGTGGATGGTGAACTTATTTGCGAGATAAATATTCATTAATATACTTTTAAAATAAATCACATACAACCAAAAAAAACACTTAATTTAATCGAATTTGTCAATATTTAAAAAAAACATCATTAATATTTTTAAACAATTATTTATATAAAACACAAATACTGATAATCATATTTAACAGGAGTAAATATACAAAAACAAATCTGGTATAAAAATTATAATATGCGATAACCTTTTTATGTTGGTGTTTTTTTATATTAAGTAGATAATTTTTTTATTATTATTTTTGTTTCCTTATATTGAAAATACATGTTTGTTAAGGATTCATCTAGTCACACATGTAAAACTCAATAAACACTTTCTAAAAAAATGTATACAGATTAACTATGTGATGATGATATGGGTAAACAGAGTCTCTTCCGTATTTCGATCTCTTATCCAAATTAATTTTGGATCCAACTAAAGTTCTTATGCAAACTTCACCTAAATTGTGATAATGTATGAATTCATGAACCAATATTTTTATTAGAATTAAATACATGTTTATGGTAGATTGTAATTTATTTTTAATTGTAAAATAGTGTAAATAATCAATGTTGTACTTGGCGATATGAATAATAGAAGATAAGAAATAAAGAGCATTTTATTAGGTTACTTTTTAAAATTCATTGTATACATATATAGTCACATATAAATAAAGACATATATAAAAGAATGAAATATGTTTAATATATTTTAAATGTAAAAAGTAAGTTAGATCAAACACATACAATCGATATTAATTATTTACCGCACATGTGAAGAAGAAGCACATGAAGATAATTAAAATTTTCCTGTCTTTTGGTTCAACCCATACATGAAAATAAAAGTAATTTATTTAAATAAAATATAATAATATCATTAAAGTTTGTTTAAAATTAATATTAAAAATATTTAATAAAAAATAAACTTTAATATAAATATCAACATAATATTAACAAAAGTTATAAATTTATTTTTAATTTTAAAAAATACAACAATGCTTCATTAAAAATAAAATGAGATTGAATTGAATAAAATATATATTAAAATGAATACAATATAAATAACACTTAACATTATACTCTATTGTTAGGTGACATTAACATTATCGCGTATCATGCTACTTGTAAACAACAATAAAAGTTACAAAAATATATTTTTAAAAATTTAAAAAAATAAACAAAACTAAAAAAGTTTACAAATATTAAAATAAGTATACAAATTAACATTGATGTGTCTTTAATTTTTGTTTATACAGTACGAAATGACTTGATTGAATTAATTTTTTAAAAGTTTAACTTAATTGAAACAAACAAAAATAACTTTTTTTTTAAATTATTGTTTACCTACATAGTTTATCTATTATTTGTTATTTCGCATTGCATTTGAAAAAAAAAAAGCATTATAAATTTTCTAGAAAAAATAAATCTCTTTTCATATAATGTCTCATTGATTCAAATAGCAACTTTCTTTTTACTAATTTGATCTCTCTTTTTTTTAATTTCAAGCATATGATTTTTTTTATGTGATAAGCTTCCTTTCACTCCTTTACACAAACATTCACGTTTACTTAATGCATTTGAATTTCCTTTTCCATCCAATATAAGAAAGTCAAATTAACTTCAAAACAATTTAAAAGCCAACTTTTACGATAAATATAAGAAGATGAATTTCATTTGAACAAAATTACTAGCCGATTATTCAGAAAATTCATTTAAGCTTTAATTTAGATCAACGAGTAATTAAGATCCTAAATTTCTAATACTTAAACTATTAAAAACAAACCTAATCAAAGTAAACGAAGCACTGAATGAAACGATTGAGAGGCTAATTAAACAATAAAAAAACATGAAAAATAAAATATTTATTTATTGGAAAATGAAAAATTAGCTTTCTTAAAAAGTAAAATAAAAAATTACAATGCATTCCACCTTATTTCAACTTCTATCAATTAGCTAATATTATTTTCACCGTGTATCCATTCTCCCCTTCCAATTTCTATCCAACCAAACAGGTCGTATGAGAAAGACAGGCATCCTGGTACTTGTTCCATATCTTTCAAAAACATTTCCATGGAGTTTCAGCTTCACCCAAAGCTCAACTTTCTTTTATGCTTATTCATCCTTACCCTTTCATTTACCAACGCTCAAGCTACTACCTTTGGATATTGCGGTACTTCCTCTCTCTCCCTTTTATTCTCTTTCAAATTGTACCCCTCAATTCTGATTTTTTTCGCTCATCACATTGATCCCCCATATTAAAATTTTACACTTTATTTTTGGGGATTAAATTGTAGTCGGACCCAATTTGTTGATAACTTCTGTTCTGTCTTCGATTCCATGCACAGGTTATGCATAATGAATTCACAGCTAATTGCGCCCAGTTACTCATGATATGGTCTCGTTGAACTTGAGTGATTTTCTTTTGTGTTTAATTTTCCATTGAAAATTTATGCAGCTGATGTGAACTATGTCGTGAAGGTGTCTGGAGTTGAAATCACACCAGACCCTGTTGTTCGTGCTAGGCCTGTAACCTTCAAAATTTCTGCTGCTACTGGTAATCCCTATCTTCTGTTTCTTTATTTCATTATGTTTTCCTTCAAATTCGATTTTTCTCTCAAGCAGGGACCATGTCAGTAGCCTTATTTCTTTCTTCTGTAGCATTTTAATATGTTACTTAATTATTTGAGTAAACCATCAATGCAGTTTCTCAAGTATTTCTGCAAAAGACAAAAGGTTTCTCAAGGATTAGCTTATATAATCCTTAAAACAATGAAGTAATATGTATTTAATATCCATTAGTTCAATCCCTAAATTGATATACTTTACTAAACTAATTTGAAAAACATGTTGATACTTAGGAGACTATTTAGTATTATTGCTATGAAGTTGATGCTTTATTACTGTAACTATTTTTAGTCCATTATGAATAGATTCCTGAATGCAGGTGAAGCTATTTATGGAGGAAAGTGGGAAATTACAGTTTCATACTTCGGATTTGTTGTCCATAAGGAAATCCATGATTTTTGTGAGCAAGTATCTTGCCCTGTTGCTACTGGCAATTTTGTGGTTGCTCACACCCAAAAGTTGCCTGCATTTGCCCCACCGGTTAGTTTCAATTTTCCAAATACAAGCTTCTAGCTATGAAACCTATAAAAAACCTTACCCTATCATGAATGAAGTCTCCATTGACATCTTTGAAGAGGTCCTTAACATATAACTTAGTAATTACAGAGTAAGACAAGGATTAATGTTCTGTTGAGCAACAGAGATAATATTATGGATTGTTTAGCAGCAATGCATGTTCTTGGTCTCTCCTCTCTTCCACACACATTTTGCACTCTTTAGTGCTAAGTATTCGATGTGCCCTTACATGTAGCTTTACATACGCTGAAAAATTTAACATGTGATTATATTTCAATTAGATTAAAGATATCTGATGATCTATTATTGTGTAATTCTGTCCTATCTAATAAGCTTCTGAGTCTTTTATAATTTATGGAATTTCAACAGTCATTTAAACTCTGACAGGTAAAATCAATCCAGTAAAAAGGAGACTTCTTGGAGTTGGTGTCTTTGTGTGTGCAAGGTTTGTTTAAAGACTGTGAGGAACTCAAGTATAGAGTTAGGAGTCATGTGTTAGGTAGAAATGGTCGAGATAAATAATATATAAAGACAAAAATATACGGTTGAGAATTCAAGTGTCAAGTTTTATATTAGATAAAAATGAGAAAATAGTACAACATATATGAATGTGAAGATTTATTAATTTATTGTCTTAAAATTTTGGATAGAAAGTGATGTCAATTTCTTACACGATTGGTTCAGATCTCATATTAACCTTATATGGAATGAACTCATTCTTGAAGGAAGTGGTGAGATTTATCTACTCTTTCTTTGTGTCTATGGTATCTTAGTCAAGTTTGCATTATATACTATCGAGGACTTGGTTTTGGTAACGCATTGATTGGGTCCAAGTTGCTTGACAATATTTGTAGCTACCCTATTTATCAGTTGACTTGATATTGTCTTCTTGATGTTGGACTTGGCTTTTCATCAATTTTATTACCTAGTTTTGTTGAAGTGGAATTTTCACGCACTCCTGTTTTTGTTTCAAGCATGATTTTTCTAGGTTTAATTGCTTCCTTTGTCCCCAGTTTGGTTGAATTGTGTCAAATTCATCCTCATTTTTAAAAAAGTTTCATTGTCATCCTCACGTGGTGTAAAAGTTTCATTGTCGTCCTCACGTGGTGTAAAAGTGTCAATTGAATCCAAAGATAGAAAAAATTTGTGTCAAAGTAGTCATTTTTCCTATATATCTGTGTCTTCCTTTCATACAATCAAGTACAGATATTCATTTTACCTTATCCAATTTAAGGCTTTTCATAACTCCAGAGAAGTGACATATGAAAGGAAGACACAGAAATATAGGAAAAATGACTACTTTGACACAAATTTTTTCTATGTTTGGATTCAATTGACACTTTTATACCACGTGAGGACGACAATGAAACTTTTTTAAAAATGAGGATGAATTTGACACAATTCAACCAAACTGGGGACAAAGGAAGCAATTAAACCATTTTTCTATTATAACAGATTATGGGGATGTAAACCTTTTCTACTTTCTTGAATTTGGAACATTATAACGATACGCGAGATCAATTCCTTGTCTGTTATGTTTACAGGGCACCTACACCGTGGAGATGACACTAAAAAACGAAAAGAACAAGCCATTAACTTGCATCACCTTTAATTTAAAGATCGGTTTGGGATCTTTTCTGTCTAATATCTGAAGTGGCTGGCTACGGAGCTACTTTGACAACTATCTAAATGATCTGTGGATAATAAATTTATATGATATTTGAGTTATATTTGAAAATACCATGTTTGGTAGATATATTGTAAAAATACGGAAAAAACAATACTCAAGAAATGTAATTATTGTTATAGACAAAAAAGAAGAAGAAAAAGCACAAGTATTATTGTTTAACCATTCTTATGAGATATAAAATGTAATTCCACCACGAAATAAAATGGTGTGCTTAAGTGTAAAAGTGATATATGAGTAATATAAAAATGATTGTATAATGAAAAGGCTTCAACTCGGATTTAAGCTGACCTTTAGTAATTGTATCAAAGTCATATGAAACTTTTCCTTTAACACATATCATCACTCAGACAATGACTACTTTACTAATTAGAGTTCATATTAATCGATTCATATTGAAGTTTCCAACAACATCCTTCAAACAATTAACCCATTAATTATTTATTGTTAAAGCTTTATTTGAAGAAAAAATGTTTATATTTATTATCTAATTTTTTTTCTTCTCTAAATTCTTAACTATAAATTCTCATTATCAAAAGCTTCCATAGTGCGAAGAAAAACGGGCCGTTGAATTATAGGCACTTCACCAAAATTGGATTTCTATGCACACTAGACCAAGAAAAGGGTTTTTCATCTTCTACCTCGCCAAAATATTTAAATTGTAAAATCTAACTTATAGTAATCCAAAATTTTATATTGTTTTTAAGTCTATTTAAATAGATTTTTTTTTCAAATTCAAATCTAATATATTTTGGATTTTGAATACAATTTCTTAATTGGATTTGGACGAGACTCATATAGGATTAATTTTTGGATTTTAAAAATCTAAAATTAAGGTGTGTCTAAGTTGATCCAAGGCGATGGAGGACTACATCGAGCCAAATCGATTCAGGTCTAGTGTTGAGCCAAATCAACCTAAGTCTAAGGTTAAGTAGAGTCAGTTTGAGTTGTAGGTTGAGCCGTAGCAGTCCAAGACGAAGGTTGAACCAAATTGGCTTAGGTCGAGTTGAGTATGTCAGGTCAATGGTCAAGCTAAGCAAAACAAAATTGAAAGATCAAGCCAAGTTGGTATGGGTCAAAGGTCAGGCTAAGTCGGTTCGAACCAAGTGGCTAAAGGTCGAGCTCACTTGACCTAGGTTGAAGAATTAATATGAGTCATCCTAGTTTAAAGGTCAAGATGAGTTGATATAGGTCAGAGGTCGAGCCGAATAGGTCCAGGTCGAAAGTTGAATCAAGTCAAAATCAACAAAAAGTCTAACCAAGTTGTTTGGGTCAAAGGTCGAGTTGAATCAGTTTGGATTAAAGAATCAAGTCGAGTTGACCCGACATAAAGGTCAAGTTGATTTGACCTCGATCAAAGGTTTAGCCGAGTCAATATAATTTGAAGATCGAGTAGAGTCGATCCCAACCAAAGGTCGAGCCAAGTCATTTTAGATCGAAATTTGAGCCAAGTTGATCCATATTGAATAATCAAGACAAGTTAACCAAGTATAAAAGGTCAAGGTGACTCGATCTAACCTAAATAACTAAGATGAGTCAGTCTTGACCGAACGTAGAGCTAAGTCGGCCTTGGTCAAACCAAGTCGATTGGATCAAAGAATCGATATGAATAAATCCAATATAAAGGTAAAGAGGAGTCAACCTAAGTCAAAGAATGGATTCAAGTTAGCTTGGGTCGAACGTTGAGTTGAATCGACTTAAGCCAAAAGTGGAGTTGAGTTGTTAACATCAAAGGTCGAGCCATGTTTACCAAGACCAAAGTTCAAACGAGTCACTTCGGGCTGAAGGTCGATATAAGTTAACTTGTGCCAAATGTCGAGTCGAGTTGGCCTGTGTCAAAGGTCGAGTTGGCCTGTGTCAAGGGTTGAGTTGGCATGTGTCAAAGGTCGAGCTGAGTCGATTCGAATCAAAAGTCGAGTCGAACTGGTAAAAGCTGAAAGTCACGTCGAAGTTAAGTTAAGTAGGCTCATGTTGGAGGTCGAGACAAGTGAACTCATATAAAGGTCGAGACAAGTTTGTAAGGTTGAGATGAGTCAAAAATGGGTTCGAATTAAGGAAAAAGATGGTTGAGGTCCATCTTGACTCAAGTCAACTTTGACTGATCTAGAAGTGAGGCGGGCTATATCCAAACTGAATCAAGTGAACCAAATCCAAATCAACGTAAGTTAACTTCGATCCAAATCGAGTTGATTTGGCTTAGTCCATGTTTAATAAACTTAATAATAATATATTATAGTGACTTAATTGAAATGATTTTAATTAACAAAACGAATTCAATTAGATTTAATCTAAAATTTAAATTGGAATAAAAAATTTCAAGTTGATATAGTTAAAATAAATTTCAAATATAAATTATACATTTGATTGAATTTATAGTGGATTTTAAAAATTCAATTTATAACCACCTTTATATTTTATTCATGTGTTTCCATGAAAGGTTGGAATAGTCTAAAATATTCATATTTTAGATTTGTAAACATATTTTGTATAAAACATTATATAGTGCATTTTTAATCTTAAAATATATTTTGGTTTCAATCAAGTTTTGAATATATAATAAAAAACATGTCTTTTAATTTTATAATATATTATAAACTATATAATTTAAAACATATTTCCAATTTGTGCAATCCACAATATATTTTAAAATCTTTTATTACGCAATCAAAATAAATTTCTGAATTAATGAATTATAATGTTTGACTCATACTAATTATACGATTATTAAATGTGTAATTAAACCTTATAAATATTATGAAAAAAATTGCTATTTGAAAGCTTTATTAGATTGTTTATTTTTTTTAATATGATTGAGAGATACACTTTTTTTTTCTCTTCTTATAACTTCAGGTAACTTATAAATTTATCGTTTTTGTTTTCTTTTTAGTGTATATATTAGATGTTAATATGCCATTTTGATATTAATGAATCATTACTTTGTCATAACTTTTATAAATATAAAGAAAAATGAAATATATAATTTAATTTATAAATAAAATAATTTTTTTAAAAATATTTAGGTTGATAGTAACAGTTGATGAATGCATTGAACCGTTAACATCAAGGTTGAAAGACCAAGACGAAAACATTTATTTTCAAAGTGCTAGATAATTAAACATTGTTATAGGAACATGACACTAATAACATAAGAGGCACGTGATGAAAAGTTGATCAGCACATGAGATTGGTTCGTCACGTGAACAGGTGAGTGAAGCACCAACTTTACAGTAATAAAATAGTGCGAGCTGCTACCGTTAGGGTTTTCATCAGGCCCACAACATCATTTTATGTGTCATAGCCTCGTGCCAGAGGATTTTTCGGATCTGTTTTCTTTTCAAAACTTTACTTTCTATTTTAAATATTTATTAAATTTTATGCACGATAACATCTAATATTTTGTATAATATATTTATTAAATTTTATGCATGATAATACCTTAGCTGAACCTATTCAGATTCATGACATCCAAATTACTAATTTAGTTCTCATGTTAATTAGGGTCGTATTATAATAACTCTTATTTCCTGGACTCATAATTGAATACTTATCCAATTAAATAAATTTTATTATTATACATTAAGCTTTATTAATTAGTAAATAAAATATTGGAAGAAACTAATTAAAATTTTACCGTTATACCATGTATAATTTTATGTATTTGTAAAACGAAATTGTTGTTTCTATAGTAACTATTTTATTACAAAATTGCACTTAAAATGGTTCCTAATCAATAATGTGGACGTCTTTTTCACTAATCATAGAAAATAATTTTCATAATTAGAACGATTTTTTTAATGTGCTAACTGTTCTTTAATTTATTTTGTATTGAAAAATGTGTTAATTTTTTTTTTCATATATTTTAAGTATAAGATATAATTAAGAGTTATGAGATAGTTTACGGGTAAAGTTGAAAGAAAAGATTAGTGAAAATATGAGTTTAACTCTCTTCAGTAACATTTGAAAAATTATATGATTAATTTAACAAGTTTGGAGAAAAAAACAAAAAATTGTAGATTCAACTCCATCCAAAATATGAACAAAATTAAATAATAATGTATTATTTTCATTTATTAATGACAAACTATTTGTTTGACTTCATTTCAATTAAATTAGTTTTAAAATCATTTTATATTTTTCTTTATAGTTTGTTCTATTTTAAAATTCTTTTCCAAGGAATATTTACAGTGCAAAACTAGCCATTAATATCTTTTATAAATTCTTCAGTAAAAAATTCAATATAATTTTTATGCTAAAAGTATCATGTGTAAAATTTTATATCTGATATATAATAAAATTTGAGTAATTTTTATTTTAAAAATAATTTAATTTTCACATGTGATACATTTAAATATAAAAATAAATTTTTTTTAATATGTGAAAGATGATGATTCTAAACAAAATCAACTTAAATTATTATTCTGTCTTGGATATTATTCTACCAGATGATCAATCGATCAGATTTATAGGAGAGATCGAACTACTATGTATCACTAATGGATCAAATGATTTGAGTATCACACAATTACCACTAAAACTAATTAATTTAAAGTAAAGATTGATTATCAACATTTAAATCATAATTAGCTTAAACTGACATCAAAATATTTTCTTTAAATAATCTTTCAAACCAAATAGATATTCATGATAAACAAGGAAAACAAAAACCTGAACTTTTAAAACATACATTAAATAGTAAACTCCGACGGATAAATGAAATAATTATATTAAAGTTTTCTTAATAAAATACATATTCAATTATTAACAACGAGGAAATTAATAGGCCAAAACAGATTTTATGTGAGAATTTATTTTTAAAAAATCTTATAAATCAATGCCTCATTTGTGGTTATATATTAAAGAAATGATCGATTAGTAATTGTTTACTGTGAGAAAGATGGTTTTATTTAGGATTAAATATGTTTTAGTTCATAATCTATTAAACCAATTTGATTTTAGTCTCCGTTTTAAAGTAAGATACATTTTAGTGATTTCCTTTAAAAAACCTTAATTTTTGTTCTCCAAAACTAATGACCTTAAAAACAAGCTGAGTTGGCTAACGGTGAAGTGTCACGTCATGAGTTAATGTGTCCTTCACCGTTCAATCACCATCATCATTCAG